CATGTGGTGCTGGAGGATTGAACCGCGGTCCCTGTGCTTTGCCAAGCTTGTTTCAAGTAGGTGCTTTAGACCACTGAGCCATCTCTCCAGCCCCTAGCTTTTATTTTTTGAGACAGGGTTTCCCTGCACAGCCTAGGGCTGGCCTTGAAATTGCCAAAATCCTCCTGCCTTGGCTAAATTGCTGGGGTTACAGATGTACATTAGGGCAATCCACCCATCTACTATTTTAAATGGAAAAACTGTAACTGTAAACAAGTTGATTATATTTTAATAATAAATCCATTACAAAAAACATTGATTGCAGTTCAAGATACTCTAAAAAGTATTGGATCAAAGCTATCCCTCGCATCTTGGCAACTGTAAGACACAGGGGGACATGAAGCATATGACAAATGTCTTCCAGGTGGTGAACTGACTTAAATCAACTGTAAATAAGGATCCTGCCTTGGGATCTGTGGTCAGCATGGCTTGGTCTGCGCATATATATATATATGCCTGGCAGTTGGACTGAATTTTTTTTTCACATTCCTCACCAACAGGTGGTTGGCAAATCTCAGGCTTGGGTAGCTTTTTTCAACAAAGGAACTGAAAAAAACCAACACACTCAGAGAAGGTCTTGCAACTGCAATTTTATTTTCTTTTGTGAAAATAAACAACTGGGAGTTAAAATTGCTCCAAAAACCATAAAAACAAGATGAAGTACACACAGAAGAAGCATGTGAGGTGATGGGGGAGGGCACAGGGTCTTGGAACTTTGGCAGATTGTGCTAGCACGGAGCCAGGTGGCAGAGCCAGAACTCAGGGCCACGCCCCACTGCCACTCTGGAGCTGTGGGGTGCAGATCTCAACTGGCAGGGGGAAGAACACAGACGTCACCGTGCGAGTGGCAGGCACCTTGAGTCCCTTTCAATGTAGGGGGAGGGGGCAGTGACCATTCACAGGACCTCTTTCCCCACCCTGAGCTGGAAGCTGGCAGGGTTTTGCAGTGCTGGGGATGGAAGCCAGGGCCTTCCGAAGGGTGAGGGGAAGCTGGTGGAGACAAATCAGGCCAAGATGTCTTCGTGCATGGTCAGGGCCTTACGCTGGGCAGAGGACAAAGGTGGAAGGACCCAGGGTGGTTACCGCTGGACCAAAATTTGGGCTGAGACCCAGAAGACCTGGAGGAGTGGGTCTAGGTCAAGCAGTACCAGGCTGGGGTTCTGTGCTGTGGCAACCACAAAGACCAATGGGGGCTGCTGGGGCTGGACAACGAACCAGGGAGGGAGGGGAGACGGGTGGGAGAGAGAGGTAGAGAAGGTGTCTTCTGCCCAGGCTCGTCCATTGAAGCATACACAGGGAGAACACACTACTCTTCTGTCCTCTTTCTTGTAAAGATTTTTTTGTCGTTTTGTTTTTTTTAAAAAAGCCTAAAATTCAGCTACTGGTTACATCTACAAAATGTAAAGTGCTGTTGTTACCAGCTACTTTACAGAACAGTCCAGAGGTCAAATATTGACCAATAAAGTTTCTTTTTTTCTTTTTCTTCTTCTGAATCATTACTACTTGATGAGTCACACGACAGCCTGCATGGATTGGGGGCAGCCTAGTGGGCAGACTTGGTGACCAAGGAAAGAGGCTGGGCCTGGAGTACGGGGAGGGCCTGGTGGGCATGGAGCGTGGCTGGGAAGGCAGGGGGAGAGGTCAGCAGAGCAGTGGGTACAGACCCCAGGGGGAGGGGCCGCGACAGCAGGGGAGGCTGGCTGCCCAGCGGGCCCGGGGAGCTGGCTGCCGCCTTCGCGGACAGGAAGGCGGCTGAGTGGAGAGCCAGCTGTGCCCGGCTCTCTGGCTTGGTGGTGAGGGAAAGGGGCTGGGCTTGCTCTGAATGGGTGGCGGCCGGGGCTGCAGGTGAGGCCAGGGCCGCAGAGGGTGTGGCAGGAGAGTCCAGCATGCTGCCATGGGAGGAGGCAGGGCTGTCGCAGGGCTTCTCAGGGGGCAGGTACTGGACGCATGGCTTCTTGCTCTTGGAGGCCAGAGCACCTAAAAGAAAAGCCCAAGGAACGAGCAGTTAGGAGCCCTGGGAGGGGCAGGGGCCAAGGCCAGCAAGGCTGGCCTTGCATGTGTCCACGAGGCCTTCTGGGTCCACACCACAGTCAATCAAGAGCAGATGGAGGGGCTGGAGAGATGGCTCAGTGGTCTAAAGCACCTACTTGAAACAAGCTTGGCAAAGCACAGGGACCGTGGTTCGATCCCCCAGCACCACATGCCAGCCAGCCGCGCCCCCTGGTGGGCTGAGCTGGCCACACACACACACACACACACACAATAAATAAATAAAAATAAATAAATATTAAAAAAAAAAAAGAGCAGATGGAAAAAGGTCGCATCTGTATTGAACATGTACAAATCTTCCCCCTTTGCCATCATTCCCGAAACAATACAGCATAACGATTTACACTATAGTGGCCCTGTACTGGGCATTACAATCAAGATGTATACGGGAGGACTGTGTAAGTTAGATGCAAATACCACACTGCTTTCTAGAAGGGACATGCACATCCATGGATTCTGGTAGCTATGGAGTGGCTGGGGGGTGAGGCACAGAATCAACCCTTGGGGAGAAGGAGGGACAACTGAACTTTGGAAACCTAGGAATGATGATGGGAAGGATCTGACATTACTTCAGGATTCCAAGACTCAAAAAGAACATACATAGCAGGGGCAATGCTCAAACTGTCCACACCCACACCCTAGAGGGCAAGGGGCTCTGTCTAGTGAAGCATCATCTTTCTTCCCTAAATTTTTGGGATGGAGCCACTCAATTTGCTTTAAAATCTTGTGCCGCTGATACAGTCAGAGCTAGTGGACCCCTATTACCAAGCATACTATACAACAGGCCATGTAGTATCGACATAGTTTGCTTCCGTGTATCCTTGTGTGGCTGAACACATAATTTACGAAGTGCAAGAAAGGAAGGAAGAAAAGCGAAGAGAAATAGGAGCTCAAAAGCACTGCACGGGGTGCGTCATGAGCAGTTGTAGCCTTGTCCTGAGGATGGGACCAAAAGCCTTGCCGCAGCATGAGCATCTCCATCCGCTGGCTGGGATTCTGGTGCGAACAGACGTACAGACATTTTACACCAAGTGCCTCGAAACCATCTGTTTCAACCAAAGAAACATCTGGGAGAATCTGATCCTATTGAGCTCACTGGAAGGTGGCATGTCAGTCTAGAGGGCTACCTGCCTATGGGAATTTTGAGGCTAATTTCAATCATAGTCTGTCCATCCATCCATCCATCCATCCATCCATCCATCCATCCATCCATCCATCCCAAGACAGTGTCTCACTATGTAGCCCAGGCTGGCCTTGAACTCACATCAATCCTCTTGCTTCACTCTCCTGGATGCTAGAATTATAGGCATGTGCCACCATACCCAGATTGTAGTCTACTTGTAGTTTAGACATGGATTCTAGTACTTTATTCTCAAATTGCAATTCGACTGAACTGAGACATACCTAAGCTTTAGAGAAAAGTCCCAGATTCAAATCCTACCCCTATCATTCAACAAGCAGATTAACTGGGAAATCTTTTCCTCAATTACTGTGCGCATTGTAATTGCCCACCTCTAAAAAGGCAATACTACCCAGCTGAGCAGGGAGGCTGCTCTGAGGAGAGGCCCAGACAGCACACAGGCAGGTGTGGCTGAGGGCACAGGGAGGACAGGGCCCCACTCACCCTCTGCCTCGGGGACTGGCTGCTGGGACTGTGTCTGTGACAGCTGCTTTTCTCTCTTCCTCTTCTTTTTCTTTCCCTAAAAGATGGCCAAGAGAAGAGTTGAGTAGGGACAGAAAATACCTGGTATTAAAGATACTAGCTTAGCACCTGCCTGGCAAGCGCAAGGTCTTGAGTTGGATCCCTGGTACCAAAAAACCCCAAAAAACAAAAAACCCAACAAAAAGCCCAACAACAAAAAACACACACTAGCTTATTTACTAATAATCCCTTGTCAGGGAACTGTGGATATAGGGGTGGGGTGGGGCATTGCCCTGCAGCTGCTGGCTGCCCTAGGTGAGGGTGCTGGGCGTAGAGGCCCGAGAGAAGGTGGAGGAAGCCTCCCTCCAGCAAGGCAGTGGTCCAGGCTTCTTGGAGGCCTCAGTCTGCCCCCTCCTCCAGGTTGGCTTCCCTGTTCTTTGCCTAGAGCAGTGCTCCTGGGCCCTTTCCTGAGGGGTCCTGGGTCTCTCTGAAAGTCTGTGGCAGCACCAATCCTTTTTTTTTTTTTTTTGGCAGAACTGGAGATTGAACTCAGACCCTGCGCTTGCCAGGCAAGCGCTTGTTCTACCGAGCTATCTCCCCAGCCCAGCACCAATCCTCTTACCAGTAAAAAAGCAAACAAGAACTGCCCTATGCAAAGCTGCTGTGTATGGATGAGCATATAGATACATGTGTGAAGCCTCCTATGGCTCAGCCACTGCTCGGAGAACTCATAGAAGCCAGGGGCGATAGGACCCCCACACTCCAGCCATACTATCCCCACTGTCAGGGAATCAAAGGTAGGGTCCAGCTCAAAGAGGAAGGGAACAAATTTAAGTCTGTCCTTATGCTAGCTTCTGATTTTTTTCCCCCCGAGAGATGAAGGCTCTATGTAGTTGAATCGGGCCTTGAACTCACTAGGTAGAGAAGACTGGCCTGGAATTGGCAGCGATCCTCCTGCCTCCCCTTCCCAGGTGTTATAGGTGTGTGCCACTATACCTGGCTCTATCTTGTGACCTTCTGAGAACTAAAAGGGTTTCTTATTTCTAGAGAAATATGGCCTTCTCCCTTAACAGTCCTCTGCACATCAAGCGCTCCAGGGTCTGTGTGTCCCCTGAGCAGTGTGGCCACTCACGTAGTTGTCCCGGGCTGACCAGGTCGGGTAGAGCTGGGAGTGAAGCTGCCGCTCCTTGCGGGCCAGCTCGTAGTACTTGGCCTGCTCTTCTCGAGACAGGTTGTGCCACTACGGGAGAGAGCGAACATCCGAGACGGGTAAGCAGCCAGCATGGGACGGGGACCCACGCAACCCGGGCCGAGGGCACGGCTCACCTTTCTTCCCAGGATTTGGTTAATGGCCGCGCTTTCCTTCAGGGTGCACTCGGCTACCACCTTGGCCCTCATCTCCTTCATATACAACATGAAGGCGTTCAGAGGCTTCTTCACGTGGGGCTTCTTTTCCTCCTCCTTCTTCACGGTGACTGGGGATTTCCTGAGAGGGTGCAGGGCGGGGGATCAGCATGGTCTGGCTATTGACTGGGGAGAGCTACAGACCAGCTCAGGTGCCGGTTCCCCGGAACACCTTCACACATGGCCCCCAAGCTCTGCATCACCTCGATGCCGTCTCTGAACATCTAACAATTTCCTGACAGTGCAGGGTGGTGGGGAGAGCTGGCTCGAGGGCTGAGGGAACCGGGTAGGGGTAGGAGCAGGGGCTTTCCTGTGGCCTTCCAGGAGGGCCTTCTATGCCTCACGGCTGCTCTGCTACAAGGGCCCCATGGTTCCCAAGAGAACGCCTGGCCTCTCCCGGCCCCATGTGTTCCTGAGTGTTGGGGCACACAGGGAGGCTACATTGCCCCAGGTCTCCAGCCCTGAGGCCTCACTGAAACTTTCCTTAATGCAAGGCAAGATGCTCTAAGTTTGTCAAAGGACAGGGACACAGAAAGCCAAAGGGAACATTTCCCAGGGGAGGACGGGGCTCAGGGGACCTCAGGTGATGGCAGGAGTAAAACAAATGGCATTTGGGGTTCAGGGACCAGTCAGTCCCCTCCCGTCCTCCACCCTGGCTGCCCCTTACTTACGCGCTCACCGCGGGGCTCAGGCTGGGGGGTGCTGGTTCCTGCTTGACGATGGGGGAGACGATGGCCGGGTGGGGGATCCCTGAGGTGGGCAGGCCAGGGTGGGCGGGAGCCACCATGTGAGGGGAGAAGCGGCTGGAGACCAGGCTGCAGATCCAGAGGGAGCAAGCAACAGCAGAGGACACGGGCTGAGCAAGGGTCACCCGGTGGAGGCCAGGAGGCTCCCTACCACTTGGGGGATGGGGTGAGGGCCACTGGCTGTCCACTGAAGAATCAGGTTTGGGGGACACTGGATGCTCCCCTCTCCCCAGGACACCAGGCACCCCAACCTGACGCTGGACACAGGTAGAACGGAAAGCATCCAAGGTGCAGAGCTCAGAGGGCAGCGCAAATGGGAGAAAACAGAGCCGACACTAAGGGCTGCACGGGTTCTCTGTCCTCGGAGAGGCCGTCATCAGGCGCCACCCTTGAGACAGAATCCAACCCCCTTTCCCATCTCCTTTCCTTACAGTGCATGCGGGGAACCGAGCTTCCCCCATCTCTGGTTTCAGTCAGGGTGACACACTTAAAGTGTCTGTGTCCATACAGCCTGGCCCTGGGGAGTGGGTGGGAGCGGGCAGGGAGCCCAGGCTCTGAGGCTGTCACTGTAGATGGGAAAGGACCCTGCATCTCCGTTCAGCCCAGCGGGGAGGAGTAAGGGCCTGAGGTGGGCCTCGGAGAGCTGAGCTCTGTGTCCTCTCCCTCACTGGGAAGAGAAGGGTGGTGTCACGGTGAGAATGGCAGTCACCAGTAGACAAACACCCCCACCTTGGACTCACCTGGACATGGAGGCGTTCATGGCCAGGGCAGGGTAAGGGCTCCGGAAGCCGCCAGGAGGAATGGGGTACATGGGCTGCCCTTGCCTGTGAGGGCCAGGAGCAATGAAATCTGGTCAGGGACTGGGAACATTCAGAGTTGGATGGAGGGGGTGGGAGAGAAAGGGCTGGGGAGTGGGAAGGGTGGGCTAGGCTGCCTGGGGAGGGAAGAGGGAGGCCCAAGTCCTGGGGTTCAGAGGCAGCACTCAGCACAGGAAAGAAGGAGTGAGAGGTCTGGTGGTTTCCTTACTGTGGGACAAGCCAGCCAAGGGGGTGGGGGATTTGTCCAACAGCTCCAGGAGAGAGTGGGTAATATGGTGAAAGCTCAGACGGGTGAGGTGGCCGGGGGATTCCTGTTTCCAAAGAGAGAGCCAAGTCAGTCTGCCCCCACAGCCCACCAGGTCCCCAGGCGAGCTGGAGCTTAGAAGGCTTCCTCCCTTCCTCCTCCTTGCCCTCTACGCCTGCCAACAGCTCTGCTAGCTGCCCCAGGGTCCTCTGCCACCGATCTAGCCACACAATACCCATCTCTGCGGTTTGCAGTAACTTCCAGCTGCCTGTCAGTCAGGAATCAATGTCTAGTAAGAGACTCAGGAAATTCCCGACTAGCCATGCTAGTCCCCAAGTCATCATTAACTAACCACCTAG